ATATATGTGCCATGTCAAACTATATTTTTGGGGGAAGAAAAGCCCTAAAATTAAACTCTTACTCAGGATTTCTCTCAGCACCACCAACTCTGACCTTCAGCTCCTCTGACCAGAAAATGAGTATGTCCCGACAGCTGAACGATGGACCCACACTCAGTGAAAACTTCTGTGAAGCTGCAGATTCAGCTGAAACGTGACCTCTGCCATTGCTACACTGACGTCACACTGGCATCTGATACTGATGTAAAACAATCGGTAATATCTCATTTAAATAAAATGCTACTCGAAACAGAGCGTGTACAAACAGAGTGTTACCACCATCATCAATATCATGGATTATTTTTTTTACCTCCATTGTTATCAGACGACAGATGTTACTGACCTGATAAACCTCCCACGTTCTTCCAGCTCAGTCTGGTCAGGAAGATGTTGTCGAGCCGAGCAGCTCTCAGTCTGTCAGAGGAAAACACATGTTCAGCTTCTGTCTCTTAGTCCATGGACACCATTAACATGTGTTTACACTGTGACGGACAAAGTGACTTACTTGTGTTCCTGCATGAGTCTCTGAGTTCCTTCACCACAGTTGAACAGGTACCTGCAGCAGAGGTAAAACAATATATTATAATGATAATATTTATTATGAGCTCGAGAGGATAACACATTAGTGTCAATTTTTTTATTTGCAATACTGGCTACTGGTCCTTTGTTTTCAAGCCCCTAAAACGGACACTATTGGAGACATGGCTGTTTCACTGTAAGTGAGTCAAATAAACTGTACATAGCTTATTAATGATTCGAAACCTCATTTACTCGGGCAGCATCTTGCTTAGTTTTTAAAAAGAGTTGACTTCACAAGCATTAGTGGTGGAACTACTCATTTATTTACTTAAGGGACATTCTGTCACAAATCATCACTTCTGTTTCGCACCATCACTGACCTTAAAGAAAATTTGGTAATATATTATAATAACTTCTTCAGTACAGGTCAAAAAGATATTGTTCTCATGTTATTTTAAAGCTCTTTTTCAGCTCCATAATTAACAGTAAGTTATCCTCAATGTCAAATAACAGCATTATGAATGATTAGAACAGTTTAAAACAAACAATATTTCAAATTTTTCACCTAAGTTGGTTGATAATGTCATCAAGACATCCAGGAAGTTTGGTCTTTGATTTTTTGAGTCTTTGAGAATTCATTACTTATCTGAAGTTAAACCCCATCTCTAATTCTCAACAATGCTGTTTAAATGATCTTAAAAATCACATGAGAACCATTTGTCTGTGACCTAAACTGTTTTCAGACACGAGCTGCGGAAAAAGGTCTGGACGATTGGTGCCGAACTTTCTCCACACTCCAGACATCTTTCCGATTTGGCATCTTTACAGACCTCTTGTTTTTTGAGTTATAAATGAATCATGTGTTAAAAACATCATCAACACGCCCAGTCATTCTGCCATAATCCAGCTGTGTTCTCACATACAGCCCGTCTGGATAATTTCAGGGGAATATCCAAAATTCAGTTCATGTCTGATGAACTCTCTGTAATGTAACTGTTGGTTGAGGTAAAGCTAGTTTATC